CACACACATACACATACACACACCAGTTGGGGCTACCAAATTAATTCAGCAAAGTTGCTAGACACAAAATTCACATGTAAAAATCAGTTGTGTTTTAATACATTAACAATTGAGCAAATTGAAGAGGAAATTTAAAAAGCAATTCTATTTACAACAGCATATAAAAGAAGAATTAGGAGTAAACTTGACCAAAGAGGCCAAAAACTGATATGCTGGAAACCACACAAACTGTTGAAAGTTATTAACTAAGATCTAAATAAATGAAAAAAAATCTGGTGTTCATGGATAAGAAGGCTTAAAATTAAGATGTCAATTCTATCCAAAGTGATTTACAATTCAATGTAACTCCTATTAAAACCCCAACGACATTTCTCTGTTCATGGATGACACGATCTTATATGTAAGAAAATGCCCCAAAGTTACACACATACACACACACACACTCTCACTCGTTAGAACAAATTAATTCATCAAAGTTGCTAGACACAAAATTCACATGTAAAAATCAGTGTTTCAATACATTAGCAAATGATATTATACTCAATATCATACTCTATTTCTTGGAGAAATAGAAGAATCCATCCTAAAAGTCACATGGAATCTTAAGAGACCCTGAACACTCAAAACAATCTTGAAAAAGAACAAAGTTGGAAGACTCACACATTTTGATTTCAAAAGTTACAACAAAGGTACAGTAATCAAAACACCGTGGTATTGAAATAAGGACAGATACACAGACAAACGGAATAAAACAGAAAGCCCAGAAATAAACTTTTACTTTTAACAAGCATGCCAAGATCATTCAATGAAGGATAGTCTTTTCAACAAATAGTGCTGAGAAAACTGGATATCCAATTCAAAAGAATGAAGCTGGACCCTTACCTTATACCATGTACAAAAATTAACTTAAAATGAATCAAAGATTTAAACCTAAGAACTAAACCTATAAAACTCTTAGAAGAAAGCATAGGTAAGAAGCATCATGATGTTAGATTTGGTAATGATACCTTGGATATGACACCAAAAACACAAGAAACAGAAGAAATAATAAATTGGTTTTCATAAAATTAAAAATTTTTGTGCAACGAAGGACACTATCAAGAAAATGGGACACAATCCACAAAATGGAAGAAAATACAGCCAGCCTTGGAACGAGTTTGATCTGAACAATTCCACTTATGTGCAAATTTCTTTTCACCTCTGCCAGCCCTGACTGGAAACAGCAGAGACAAGACCTATTCCTCTTCTTTTTCAGCCTATTCAACAGGAAGACGATTGGCGTGAAGACTTGTATAATGATCCATGTTCAGTTAACAAATAGTAAATATATTTTCTCCTCATGATTTTTAATAACACTTCCCTTTCTCTAGCTTACTTTAAGAACATGGTATCTAATACATATACAAAATACATGTTAGCTAACTGTTTATATATTATCAAGTCTTCTAATCAATAGTAGGTTGTTAGTAGTTAAGTTCTGTGGAAGTCAAAAGTTAAATGCATGCTGAGTGTGGAGACTCATGCCTGTAATCTCAGCACTCTGGGAGGCTGAGGGAGGAGGACTATTTAAGACCAGGAGTTCAAAACCAACCTGGCCAATATAGCAAGACCCTGTCTACAAAAATTAAAAAAAAAAAAAAAAAAAAAATAGCCAGATGTGGTGCATTCCTGTAGTCTTAGCTACTTGGGAGGCTGAGATAGGACACCACTTCAGTCCAGTTCTAGGCTGCAGTAAGTTATGATCTTGGTACTGCACTCCAGCCTAGGCAACACTGCTGGACCTTGTCTCAAAAAAAATAAATAAAAGTTACACACAGATTTTTGACTGCACAGAGCTTGGTATCCATCACTGCTGTGGTGGTCAAGGATCAACTGTATTTGTAAGTCATATATCTCGTAACAATTTAATGTCTAGAATATATAAAAGCTCCTACAATCCAACAACAAAATAAACAACCCAATTAAACAAAATGGACAAAGGGCTGGGCATGGTGGATCCTGCCTGTAATCCCAGCACTGCTGGAGGCCAAGGTGGGAGGATCACTTTAGCCCAGGAGTTCAAGGCCAGCCTGGGTTACCTACCCAGACCCTGTGTCTACAATATAATAATTAGGCAGGCATGGTGATGTGTGCCTGCAGTACTAGCAACATGGGAGGCTGAGGCTACAGGATCCCTTGAGGCTAGGAGATTGAGGCTGCAGTGAGCTTATAATCACGCCACTGCATTCTAGCCTGGGCAACAAAGTAAAACCCTGTGTTTAAAAAATAAAAAATGATTTTTAAAAGTTTTAAAATTTTTAAAAAATAAATGGATAAATGACTGGAATGGCTATTTCTTCAAAGATACGCAAATGGCCAATAAATAAGGACATGTAAAGATGTTCAGTATCACCAGTTGTTAGGGAAATGCAGATCAAAATCACAAAGTGATACCACTTCACACGTATTAAGAATGCTATTATTCAAAAGAAGGCATTTATGCGGCCAACAAACATGAAAAAAAGCTCATCATCACTGCTCTTTGGAGAAATGCAAACCAAAACCACAATGAGCAGTCATTACAGAAATATAAATCAAAACGACAACGGCAGTCATTAAAAGGTGAGGAAACAACAGATGCTAAAGAAGATGTGGTGAAACAGGAATGCTTTTATGCTATTTGTGGGAGTGTAAATTAGTTCCACCATTGTGGAAGACAGTGTGGCAATTCCTCAAGGATCTAGAACCAGAAATACCATTTGACCCAGCAATCCCATTACTGAGTACATACCCAAAGGATTATAAATCATTCTACTATAAAGACACATGCACACACGTTTATTGCAGCACTATTCACAATAGCAAAGACTTGGAACTAACCCAAATGCCCATGAATGATAGATTGGATAAAGAAAATGCAGCATATATACACCATGGAATACTTGGCAGCCATAAAAAACGATGACTTCATGTCGTTTGCAGGGACATGGATGGAGCTAGAAACCATCACTCTCAGCAAACTGATACAAGAACTCAGAAAACCAAACATGGCATGTTCTTACTCCTTAGTGGGAGTTGAACAATAAGAACACATGGACACAGGGAGAGGAACACTACACACCAGGGCCTTACAGGGGTTTGGGGGCTAGGGGAGGGATAGCACTAGGAGAAATATCTAATGTAGATGACAGGTTGATGGGTGCAGCAAACCACCATACCACATGTATACCTATGTAACAAACCAGCACGTTCTGCACATGTATCCCAGAATTTAAAGTATAATAATTTTTTTAAAAGAATGCTATTAAAAAAAGAAAAGAAAAAAACAAATGTTCGTGAGGATGTGGAGAAATTGGAACCTTGCGCATTGCTGGTAGGAATGGAAAACAGTTTGGCAGTTCCCCAAAAAGCTAAACATAAAATTACCATATAATCCAGCAATGACTCCTAGGTATAATACATATCAGAGGAACTGAAAGCAGAGACCCAAATGGATATGATACTTTTTTATGCCAGTGTTCATAGCAGCATTATTCACATGGGCCAAAAGGTGAAAACAATCCAAATGGCCATCAATAGATGAATGGATAAACAAAACGTAGTATATCCACACACGAAGTATTATTCAGCCATATAAAGGACTGACACATTCTGACACATTCTAGATAATAGATGAACCTTGAAAACATTAAGTTGAAGTGAAAGAAGCAGGATACAAAAGGAAAGTGTATATGATTTCACTTAGGAGGTACCTAGAATAGGCAAATTCATAGAGACAGAAAGTAGAACAGAAGTCATCAGGGACTAAAGGAGAAGAAATGGTACGTGATTGTTTAATAGGTACAGGGCTTTTGTTTGAGATAAATAAAAAGCTCTGGAAATGTATACACAACAATTAATGTCCTTAACGGCACCTAATGGTATACTGAACTATTAAAAACTATAAAATTATATTATGCATATTTTACCATAAAAGACACTGTAAAAAAAAATCAACAAAAGAAATAAATGCAAATCCTTAGATAAGCAGCTTCCACAACTCATTTGAGGAGCCACTACAGTGTGATACAGTGCTTGAGATGACAGGTTCTGAAGCTGCACAACCTAGGTCAATCCTGGCTCTACCCTTTCAGAGTTGTGTGGCCTTAGGCAAGATGCTTCATCTCTGTGGTTAGGGTCTCCAGACATTTAAATGGAGACAACAGTGTCTTTCTCACAGGATTGTTGTGAAGATTAATGAGTTAATTCACTTAAAGTCTTGAGGGCCTTATGATGAGTTAAATCACATAAAGCACCCAGACATCAGTAAGGATGAACTATTATTGTTACTATCTAAACACATCAGTCATACATCCAAATTTCAATACAAAATGCCTTTAATCTGTGTCTATTTTGGTGTTCAAATTCAAAAAACATCTAATAATGATCAGTAAATTTTCAGATGTACAGGTTAGAAAAAAGTTTATTATATTTTTCTCTTTTTGAGACAGAGTCTCCACTCTGTTGCCCAGGATGGAGTTCAGTGGTGCAATCTCAGTTCACTGCAGCCTTTGCCTCCTGGGTTCAAGCAATTCTCCTGCCTCAGCATCCCATGTAGCTGGGACTACAGGCACCTGCCACCATATCTGGCTAATTTTTTGTATTCTCAGGAGACATGGGGTTTCACCATGTTAGCCAGGATGGTCTTGACCTCCTGACCTCATGATCTGCCTGCCTCAGCCTCCCAAAGGCTTATCATTATATTTCTATTTGCTAGCTCTGTATGCTTTCCTAGTCTCCAGATTTCAGAAAGTAGCAAGAAACATTTATACATTAATTATCCTTCATTGTTCTTTCAATTTATGACAAATCATGTGAACTTGTTTGAAGTTGCAACTACTAAGAAATTTAAATGTATAGAAGACTGACAGTGGTATGTTTGCTCTAACTAAAATTGACAGTAGACATTCATTCTTGTTATACATGTCTAATTAAAAATTTTAAAAAATATATTTCATTTCAAAAACGTATTACATACTTACCAAATGAAGATAGAAATCTCCAGGACTATTTATATAACAAACCGTTACTGAAACATCTGTCATTTCTTTAGGCAAAATAGGTGGATGATAGTGTAAAGTAGTATCTTTTTCAAAATGACTTCTTAGTGATTGTGACTTAAACCTAATTAAAAGCATAATGAAAAGCGTAAGGAGGGTCTCACTCTTGTCACACAGACTGGAGTGCAGCGGTGCACTCATGGCTCACTGCAGCCTCCACCCTCCTGAGCTCAAAGCAATCCTCCCAATTCAGTCTCCCAAGCAGCTGGTACCGCAGGTGCATGCCACCACACCTGGCTAATTTTTGTATTTTTTGTAGAGACAGGGTCTCCCTACATTGCCCAGGTGGACCCCGAACTCCTGGGCTCAAGCAAGCCTCCTGCCTTGGCCTCCCAAAGTGCTGGGACACAGGTGTCAAGCCACCATATCTCGTCAAGCCATTTTCTTAGTCTCTCTTCTTTCTGTGACTTGATCTAAAGAAAGGATTTGTACATGTACTGACTTATTTACCAAAAGTATTCAACTTCCAATTTCATTCTTCTAACATTTCTTCATATTGTCTTCAATTATCAAACCAGGTTAAATAAGATATCAAGTCTCAAAACTTTAGAGCTGCGCTTTCATGTCGTACACAGAATTAAAGCTGCTTCTATTCTGTTACATTGGTATCTGTGGTCTGTGGTAGCAGTTCATATTGTCAGCTGAAGAGCGTCTGTCGCCCCTTCCAGCTCCAATACTACATTTATTTTTCTAGAATGGAACCTGCTAGGGTCACTTCTAGAGTCACTGAATCACTCAGGGTAAAAATTAGAACCTTTGACTACCTCTATGGTTACTTAAGTCATCAGAAATGATGGACAGGCTGGGTACTGTGGCTCATGCCTGTAAGCCCAGCACTTTGGGAGGCCAAAGCAGGCAGATCACTTGAGGTCAGGAGTTCAAGACCAGCCTGGCCAACATGGCAAAACGCCATCTCCACTAAAAATACAAAAATTAGCCGGAGTGGTGGTATATGCCTATAATCCCAGCTACTTGGAAGGCTGAGGCTTGAGAATTGTTTGAACCTAGGAGGCAGAGGTTTCAGTGAGCTGAGACCATGCTATTGCACCCCAGCCTGGGTGATGGAATGAGACTGTCTCAAAAACGCAAACAAACAAACAAAAAAGAAACAACGGACAAAGAAACTTTAAATATCTATTTTACATTCATACATTAAATATAGGGTAGTGATCATGAACTTATTCCAAAGTCTACAAAATTTAAGTTAGGAACAGTTAATCTATAATTCTTGAAACCCTCATACAGGTGCTTATAAAGTCAAAGAGTCCAAAAGATGTTAGGTTATTTACACATATTTTATATTTTGAGCTACCTTAATTTCTCTAATTTTATTTTTTCTTTATAGACAAGGTCTCACTCTGTCACCAAACTTAAGAGTACAGTGGCAAGACCATAGCTCAAACTCCTGGGTTCAAGCAAACTTCCCACCTCAGCTCCTGATCTGAGAAGCTGTAACTACAGGTACATGCCATCATGCCTGATTAATTTCTTTTTGCATTTCTTTGCAGAGATGAGGTCTAGCTATGTTGCCCCAGCTGGTCTCAAAATCATGACCCCAAGCAATCCTCCCTTCCTGGGCCTCCCACAGCGCTAGACTGACAGTTGTGAGCCACCCTGCCCAGCCTATTTTCTTAAATCCAATTATCTGAATTCAGTTTTCACAAACAACTGTACTTAGAAAAGTCTAACAGCAATATTTTTCACTTCTTCAGGTCTTTAAGGTTTACTTAAAGACATGGTTTTTAAAGGCAAAATCTACTTCTCTTATGTATAGCTATAATCTCAAAGAATATTTAAGTTTCATTAAGTTACTTACTTTGCTAGTTCCATAAAAACTAGTGCATCTCTAAGAGACACAGGCATATCACTGCTTATTTTATTTGTTGGTGGTTTCTGCAGATCTACAATAAGCACACCATCTTCTTCTCTAAAAACTTTCATTAAAACAGACTTGTTATTTACCATTTTCAAAAATTCCACTTTAGCCTCCTGTTCCCAGCCTTCATTCTGTGCAAAAAAGCAAAATTTCATAGTAATGAGTAATTATAAGTATCTCTAATGTTACAATGGTCTGGATTTAGGTTTGTACCAACCACAGATCCAACTGTGGGCAAGGACACCAAACCAACCAGACATTAAGAAACAGGGCCACAAACCCAAGGGCAGTCTATGAATGTACAATGTATGTATATCTTCACTTTATATATTCTCAAGGTTTTACTTTATAATTTAGTTTCACTTTTGAATATTAATATGAAGAATGAGAATATTTTCATTCTCAAAATGAAGAAGTAGTCAATTTTCCGCTTAGATGAAAATTCAAAAAGTAATTTTGAAGGTTTGGTATGCCTAAAATAAAATTTAAAAATTTACAATCTCAGCACTTTGGGAGACCAAGACAGGCAGATCACAAGGTCGGGAGATGGAGATCATCCTGGCCAACATGGTGAAACCTTCTCTCTACTAAAAATACAAAAATTAGCTAGGCGTGGTAGCATGCACCCACCTGTAGTCCCAGCTACTCGGGAGGCTAAGGCACGAGAATTGTTCAGACCCGGGAGGTGGAGGTTACAGTGAGCCGAGATTGCACCACTGCACTCCAGCCTGGGAGACAGAGCGAGACTCTGTCTTAAAAAAAAAATTACAATCATCATCAGTTAACCTAGCTTCCATCACTAGCAATACATGAGATCAATGCTACTTAGGCGATTTAAAAAAAAAAAAAAAATCCACCCAGGATGGATTACTTACTCTGTCACCCAGGCGAGCACAGTGACGTGATCTCAGCTCACTGCAACCTCTTGCCTCCCAAGCTCAAGTGATCCTTCCACCTCAGCCTCCAATGGTGTGCCATCACGCCTAATTTTTCTATTTTTGGTAGACAGGGTCTCACCATGTTGCTCAGACTCGTCTCAAACTCCTGAGCTAAACCGGTCCTCCCACCTCAGCCTCCCAAAGTGCTGGGATTATAGCCTTGAGCCACCACACCCAGCCAAAAAAGTTTGTATGTTGATCTCTGAATATTTAAGTATCATATCTAATGTAAATTTCAGGATCAAAACCAGAAATTCCTTAAAAACAAAAAAAGAAAATAGCTTTCTCAAGTTTTTATGATTATAAATGTAAAATCAGTGTATAAAATCTGAAAAGTTAAAGAGAAAATTAAAAACAAAACACTCTCACCATTTTAAGGAAAACACCAGTGCTATTATTTTTATGTTTCCTTTTATTTTTTTATTCACTTAATTATTTCAAGTATGTGTTGAATGCCTTCTATGTGGTAGGTGATCTGCTAAGCACTAGGAATACAATGATGAGCATAGACAGACTCCTGCTCTCATAGACCTTGTAACAATAGAACTGCTTAACATATATTGTTACAATTTGTCTCTTAAAAATTTACAATCTTGCTGAAGAATAGATACTCATAAATAATACAAAAAACAGAATGCAATGTGGCCATTAAATATAAAGGACAATGGAAATAGGAAAACACTGCAGAGAAACACACACCACATCATAAAACTTATTTATCTGTATAGCTGACTCCAAAATTACTGGTTTGCTTGACTATTTTATCAATCATTATGTTCATATATACTTATTCAACTCAATTTCTCATTAAAAATATTTTCAATTGTGGAAGCTGAAGTTCAGTTTCTTTTCTACTGAAACTAATAGTTTAGTATGCACTATGTATTTACAAAGATTACTGGTTCCCTGAGCCTACATTTAGCAGTCTATTTGGCAATATACAACTCAAACTGTAATAGACTCAGAAGAAAAAAAGTCTCACTTACTGAATTCTGTGGAACAATGTCTTTCAATGAGCATGGTTGTGCTAATGGCTGGATGTCTTTTAGCAGCCCTTCAATATATGGTTCAGATTTCCTTAGAAACAGACATAAATCATTTACCGCAGTATGTTGGTCAGCAGAATGTTCCGGTATCAAATGGGTATTAACAACTCTAGGAGAAATTCAAGTACTATTTATTGAAAGTAATGCTTCAAACTTGAATTTATTTTCCCCCATAGAAAGGTACGTGTTTCTAAGTATAATTTTTCTTGTTACACCTTTCAGAAAGTTACATTCCAAATACTTTCTTACTATATAGAATTACTTTAGCTTCTATAAGCAGAGATACTGTTTTCCTCCATAGAATTAAATCTCAGGTACATTTCACTTTCATATACTCACTCAGTTTGAGCTTAAAGGAGATAATGACCCTTCCCTCCATATAAATCTATTTATTTATAAGCTATAACCACTAAATGATGATGCTATGGTTAATGCTGGCCCTTACTACAGAAACACGTCAGTTTGTATTATTTTCCTAGAAGACAGGGAAACCATTTTAAATACCTAATGAGTTAGACAGTATGACACTTTAAAAAACCCTAATGAAATTATGGAAGTCAGATTAAAAATTTAACTCAATCATCTATAGCTAACTGTAACACTTTATTTAAAAGAATTAGTTTTGTGTGTTATTCCTTGCTTTGAAGTGACATAAGAAGAGTACCTAAGTTCCTTTTCTAAGCTCTCCATTTAGTAATACTGGAAAACGAGAAAACTTTACATATCAACTGTAGAGCAAAACAATAAAGTATATGTCTTGGAAGTTAAGAATGACGCAAATTACTCCTCTCTACCTCTAATTTCCTTTATTCTTTAACTTCACCCCCCTCCAAAATGTTTCTAAACAGGCCAAGACCACATATTATAAAATATCATACCCTGTGACAATCAGGACTTCAGAATTTCCAAAATCTACCATGAATATTTGTATTAGTGCAACTTCATGGACAAAGAATTTGGTTGGACTACAAGGTTTTCTAATATTTTTATTCTCTATTGGAATTAATTCTGTGATAGTTCCTCGACACCACACTCCATTTTTAATACTGTTGACAAATATTCTTGCACCTAAATAATGAGGGAAACAAATCATTATCAATGTTTATCAAGAGAGACAGTAAGTTTACAGACACGTTAGTTCTACCACTAAAAAGTCTTAATTCATTTATTTACTGATGACATAGTACTGTGTTCAAGTGCTATGAGAAGGATGTAATATATTATGCTAGTTTCTGTTATACAGAAACAAGCTAAATAGGGAGATAAACACACAAAGAATACTAAGTTATAAGTCACTTAATGAGGACCTGTTTCATAAATAATAAGAACAAAGATGAATGAGACTGTCTTGCCATCAAGAAGCTCAAGAAAGGAAGAGAGATGGGGAAATTAATTACCATAATTACACTGTACTTACCACAATCAAGACCATCTGTCCTTGCGCATGTACACATGTACACTTACTGACATAGACATACTGAGGTTTTAGACAACTATGTGCAACCACAAAAATTAAATTCAATATTATACTTCCCTCCTCTTAGATACTAACAATCTAATGTTCCCAGCTCACGTGGCATAAAATATTATTTTTTAAGTATTAGAATTACTATTCATTTTTATCAAAGTATATGATGATCCTACTCTTCTGACATTCCAAAAAGCTGTATCGATGAGCTGAGAATTAATCACACTTTTTTTTTTGAGACAGAGTCTCGCTCCATTGCCAGGCGCCAGGCTGGAGTGCAGAGCGGCACGATCTTAGCTCACTGCAACCTCCGCCTCCCACATTCAAGCAATTCTCCTGCCTCAGCCTCCCAAGTAATTGGGACTACAGGCACATGCCACCACACCCAGCTAATTTTTGTATTTTTAGTAGAGATGGGGTTTCACCATGTTGGCCAGGATGGTCTCGATCTCTTGACCAAGTGATCCGCCCGCCTCAGCCTCCTAAAGTGCTGGGATTACAGGCATGAGCCACCATGCCCTGCCTAATCACACTTTTAAATGACTATCAATCAAGATTAGACAGAAAAACACTTTTGGTATTGTTTATATACAGGCGTTGGCTGCTATTAACAGAATGAGAAAAATGCTCTATTAATAAAAATGAATCATAGCTTCATCATATTACAAGGTACAACCAAATTCAATCAACAGTGTTATAAGAAAAATACTTATAGCAAAAGCTTGAACCATGGCAAATTCACATCCTCTCACAATTAAAAGACTGACTGCATTTACAATTACCCTCTGTGGGGCACTGGGAATGGGTGCCACAGGCCTCCTGAATCTCAGATGTTCAATGCTAGCCCCAACAGTCACACATGGCAAGCAAGAGACTGGAGTTACACATGAAGAAGAATCATGTGTAACTAAGACGTTAGAAGCATAGTTCTTCATGGAGACAAAGGGACAGGCTACATAACCTGTCATGGGTTTTGTAGTTTTAAAAGCAATTCACCCTACTACATAATCAAGTTTCTGTACCCATCTCACTCTAATATGCCAACATTCCATTTTAATCCTTAGCTAATTTACTAAATTTTTATGCTTATTACAAATGAACTTAGAGCAAAAATCTATATTATAACAAGTCTTATATGGGTTGACCAAGTTATAATATATAAATACATTTGATAGTTGCACCTCAGTAATAATAAATTTGATATTTTAACTTGGAGTAGTACTTCATTACCTAGTTCCAAAATGTCGGAAGGATCAAGGTGTGAACTCCTGTTGCAAAATTCATTCACCTTCTTCTCCAGTACTTTTGCGTCTTTTATTTGTGAATACTTCCGAATGTAGAAATGGCAAGGATCTATTACATGGCTTACAAAAACTAGCTCTGCAGAACCTGGATAAAAATGTTTAAGCCACATTAATAAACTATGAGTTACAAATGAATTCACAAAAGCTGAACAACTTTAATAGCTTCTGAAAAAGTGTATTATGGTATTGTAAACTCTGGAATACTGCACGTAGGCCCCAGGAAGTAGTCTAAACCCTGAAGGATAAAACAAATGGATCGCTGTCAACTTGAAATCTTTAGTAACCTGAACTGCAAATACTTCATATTACTTGCAAAATATTATAAGTGGTATCATAGTCCATGTGATAGTTATGATTCTAAAGTCAGCATATATGCTGTAACTCTACTGTATTACAAAAGTTCAGTTTATTGATGAACATCTTTGGAACTCAGAACCCCTACTGATAATGATTAGGTTTCTAGGATAGCCTACAAAAGCCGGTTCAGTCTATGCTCTACCAATAGAACCAATATAGCTCATAGTCACTCTGAATCCCAAGTCTTATATATCAGGTTAGTCTTATAAATCAGGTGTGAAAAAATGTCCAGGCAGGGCCGGATGCGGTGGCTCACGCCTATAATCCCAATACTTTGGGAGGCAGAGGCAGGTGGATCACGAGGTCAAGAGATCGAGACCAACCTGGTCAACATGGTGAAACCCCATCTCTAGTAAAAATACAAAAAAAAAAATTAGCTGGGCATGGTGGCGTGTGCCTGTAATCCCAGCTACTCAGAAGGCTGAGGCAGGAGAATTGCCTGAACCCAGGAGGCGGAGGTTGCAGTGAGCTGAGATCACGCCATTGCACTCCAACCTGGGTAACAAGAGCGAAACTCCTTTAAAAAAAAAAAAATGTCCAGGCAAAGCCAAAGTACTGAGATGCATTTAAAGGAATATGTGTGCTTTTTGGTGGGGTGAGTAGAGGTAAAAACAGTCAGAAAATTTTCTTAAGCCAAGTGTCTTCACTAATATGAAAAGATTTCCAAAGTATAACGTTAAGGAAGGAATGCAAAAAACAAAACAGTGGTATGCTAGATTTTGTGTTTTAAAAAAAAAAAAAAAAAAAAAAAAAAACACCCTACACAAAGATAGAGAGAGGGAGAGAGAAGCCTGGAAAAATAATTAGTGTGTGTTTATTCATAAATGCATGAAGAAAATCTAGAAGAGATGGAGAGACTGAATAGAATAGGCATAGGATGGGGAGAAGTTTCACAGAATATTTTAATATATATTTAATTTCTGAATTAGATCAATGTTTTACATGGTAAAATTGTTTAAAAAACAAAGACTAGGAGGAGTGGAATTGAATACAGCCAAGTATAGACAGATGACAGAAACTGAACAAATGCATCATTTTAACTATCCAATAGAAAATATAAAGAATAATGACCATATTTAGAGTGGAGTAAAAAGATAAATACATACAACTGGGGGTGACATCTGATAGAAGTATAAATTTTGGAAACATTCTTGGGTGAGCACGATGGCTCATGCCTGTAATCCCAGCACTTTGGGAGGCCAAGGAGGGAGGATCGCTTCAGGACAGGAGTTTGAGACCACCCTGGCCGACACAGTGAAACCTCATCTCTACTAAAAATCTCAGCTACTCTGGAGGCTGAGGCATGAGAATCATTTAAGTCTGTGAAGGGTGCTGTGAGCCAAGATTGTGCCACTGCATTCCAGCCTGGGCGACAGAGTGAGACTCTGTCTCAAAAAATATTTTGAAGGAGGCGGTTATTCTTGCCAGAGTCAAAACTTATTTATTTATTCATTCATTTATTTTTATTTTTATTGAGATGGAGTCTCACTCTTGTTGTCCAGGCTGGAGTGCAGTGGTGTGATCTTGGCTCAACTGAAACTTCCGCCTCCTGAGCTCAAGTGATTCTCCAGCCTCAGCCTCCTGAGTAGCTGGGATTATATGCACCCACCACCACGGCTGGCTAATTTTTGTACTTATAGTAGAGACGGTTTCACCATGTTGCCGGGCTGGTCTCGAACTTCTGACCTCAGGTGATCCATCTGCCTCGGCCTCCCAAAGTGCTGGGATTACAGGCATGAGCCACCACACCCAGCGTATTTATTTTTGAGATGAGGTCTCACTCTGTCACCCAGGCTGGAGTGTAGTGGTGTGATCTCAGCTCATTGCAACCTCCGCCTCCCAGGCTCAAGTGATCCTCCCACCTCAGGCTCCTGAATACCAGGGACCAGAGGTATGCACCACCACACCCACTTACGTTTTTGTATTTTTTGTAGAGAGAGGGTTTCACCATGTTGCTCTGGCTGGTTTCAAACTTCTGAGCTCAAGTCATCCACTCACCTTGGCCTCCCAAAGTGCTGTTACAGGTGTGAGCCATGGTGTCTGGCCCCAGAATTAAAACTTTCAACATTAGAAAGGAATATGTTTTAGTTATCAGTGAAATTCACTCTACTTACTACCTCACACTAGGTAAGAGTTATTTATTATACATACAGTAAACTCCACTATATCAAGCTCAGACAGTTGTTACAGTACCTGCTTTTGATCCAAAAAGAACAGATGAGATTTTCTGAAGAGGCTTTTTTGGATATCTATGTGTCTCCACAAGATCATCTGTGCTGCATGCTTCATCAAAGAAATAAAGACAACTTGTACTAACTATGTTAATGTTAACAATGACATGCTAGGGTTTTTTTTTTTTTGGTGTTGTTTTTGTTTTTTGAAACGGAGTTTCGCTCTTGTTGCCCAGGCTTGGCTCACTGCAACCTCCACCTCCCAGGTTCAAGCAATTCTCCTGTCTCAGTCTCCTGAGTAGCTAGGATTACAGGCATGCGCCACCAGCCCCAGCTAATTTTGTATTTTTAGTAGAGACAGGGTTTCTCCATGTTGGTCAAGCTGGTCTTGAACTTCCAACCTCAGGTGATCCACCTGCTTCAGCCTCCCAAAGTACTGGGATTACAGGTGTGAGCACCGCGCCCAGCTGACATCCTAATTTTAAAAAAGCTGTACTTGAATTGGCAAAATACTGGAATGGCAACACCCCTTGTATCAGTGAATAAAGTCATTACAGGTATCTTAAGTAATTTAGACATCAATGATAATACAACGGAAAGAAGTGCGTCCTTTTTTAAAATGTAATTCTGGAGAGTCAACCAATAAAACAGACAAAGGGTAAAAGAAAATAAAAGCTGATCTTGAGAAATGGTTCTAATGGAGATAATCAGTATAAAACTACATAGTGTAGTACTTCACTCCACGTCAATGGCAAGAATACTGACACTGGAAATTTAATCACATACTGTGATATATTTATATGTTATAAAAGAGATAACATGATAGTTTATCTTATGTTAAATCTCAAAACAAAGATTGAAGATGTTCTTATTTCAAAGAAAGTAATACAACTATGTCCATAAATCATATCTCATTTATTTATATCTTTTATACAAGACTTGTAAGAACACTAAAAATCTCAGAATACCCTAATTAAACCAGATATTAATTCATACCTCAGAAGGTTAGCTGTATTACTGCATTAAAAATAAAAATTATCCTAACTCTGGAAAATGTAAGAGTAGGGGCATGGAATGAACAGGTTTTAAGTCATAATGAGGAATAAGATTGTAACAGCAATTGTATTTCTGTTAAATGCATGGAATGAAAAAGGTACCAACTGTATCCAATTACAGATACAAGATCTTTCCCACATGCTTTTACATTTTTACTCACTTTCTATGTTGTCTTCAATAATTTCTTCAATTATCACATCAGGGCTAGATCCCATTTGAGGTAACAGAGTAATGGTTTTAGGGGATGCTGTTGCAACAATGTCTTTCTGTGGCTGCAAGTTTTTTGCTTCTAAATGTACATTATTTGTCTCAGGTTGCAAACGAGGTGGTGGTGCTTCATTGGTTAGGACAGACATGTCAATCTTCTTCTTTTCTACTGGTGGGTATGTATCATAACAAGAAAGCCCCTTCTTGTTATTGTATTTCTTCTGAACATTCTGACTAATTTCATTTTCTTGGGGATGACATCTGTTTAAAAATACAGAGATATAAGCTTACAAATACAGAGGTAAATGGTACAACCCTGAATAAGTCACTAGAAATTTCCACAAAGGCCATTAATCTGAATTTTGGGGCATGATTATTCAATAGCCACTCACCCACTGCCAGTTATTTATCCATTCTACTCCATATTTGTCTATCTTCTCCACATATCTAGACAGTTTTTAGGCTATCGAATCTACAAGTATAGAAATTTTACAATGAAATAAGATTGGGTTTCATGAAGTTTGTGTTTCAGTTATTTCATGATGGATTTAGCTTCTTCAGAGATCACTGTTTAAGCAGCTACTGTGGGAGGTCAAGGCGGGCAGATGAAGAGGTCAAGAGATAGAGGCTATCCTGGACAACGTGGTGAAACCCTATCTCTATTAAAAATACAAAAAAAAAAAAAAAGCTAGGCATGGTGGCACAAGCCTGTAGTCCCAGCTACTCAGGAGGCTGAGGCAGGAGAATCACTTGAACCCGAAAGGCAGAGGTTGTGGTGAGCCAAGATGGCGCCATTGCACTCCGGCCTGGGCAACAAGAGTGAAGCTCTGTCTCAAAAAAAAAAAAAAAAAAAAAAAGTAATCTAATTATTTTTACTTTCATGCTTAAAAACTTTTAGTGGCTTTCTACTGCCTAGAGCTATACTGCACAACAGAAATTTTGGTGACAATGGAAATAAGCCATATTATCTAATATAGCAGTGCTTTGGTCTAAATGTTTCAAAATTCATGTTGAAACTTAATTCCCACTGTGGTGATATTAAGAGATGGGGCCTTTGGGACAATTAACGATCAAGTTATGAGGGCTCTGCCCTCATGAATGGATTTGTGCCTTACAACATGTCTGGAGGGAACTAGCTTAGGCGCTTTTGCTCTTCTGCCCTTCCACTGTGTGAAGACAGTTATTTGTCCCTTTTTTGCTCTTCTATCCTTTCTGCCATGCGAGGACACAGCTTCCAAAGGTACTTCTTAAAGCAGAGATCACGGCCCTCACCAGAAACCAAACCTGCCAGCACCCTGACCTTGGGCTTCTCAGCCTCCAGAACTGCAAGCAAATAAACACCTGCTCTTTATACATTACAGAAGAATAAAACACATCTGTTCTTTTTAAATTTTATTATAGCAGCACAAATAGACTAAGACAGGTAGTTACTAGCAACACGTGGCTACTGAACACTTGAAATGTATGCTAATACATTTAGCCTAGGAACTAGATTTTAATTATATTTAGTTTTAATTAATTTATGTCTAAATTTAAATAGCCACATGTGATTAGTGGCTACCATATTGGACAGTATGGATTATAAAGTTCAAACATCATCAGATAGCATACAAAATCTTTAGGACTTAGCATCTTTGTATTCTTGGGGACACACAGAACGGAATTACATACATTGTTACCTGAATCTAGCATGCTATTTCACTGCCCATACATTCACTGCCCATAAGATGCCTAATTCCTTTTTGTCCTCCTTTCTACTTGCTACTTAATTTTCATAGAAAAGGGAAAAGAAAATATCTTTCTTTGATATTTTCAGACTCAATTCCCCTGCTTTGCACCTCAAGCAAATTCTGCATTCATGGCTCTAGCAGTTTTGCATTTTATTGCTTACATGTCCTTCTTCCTTTACTTATTGTAATTTATCTGACACTTATCTTAATTATCTAGGGTGTTGGTACCTAGCAGTATTCAATGCTTGATGACTGAATCAATCTCAAAGATAAATTTGACATATATATTGCAGAATACTGATCCCTTCCAGGCCTTTCAAAAAATTTTATACATAGAATTTAATTATAGAAACTCTTAAGTCCTTTATTTTTCAGCTCTTGAATTATACTAAACATCAATTTTTCTGTCTCTTAGATAATGTAGGTACTGTAAGAAACTAATGGCATGTCACCATGATTATACTTACTTTGTTGAGTCCTCAAATTCAATCTTTCCCATATTTTTGAACATACAGATAATCTCACTGCAATTCACATTCAACCTATAATTAAACATTAACATATATGTAAATGTTCTAATACAAATTTATTATGTTGTCTCAACAAAAATCAGTTACTGACATTAAAATAATGAATCAAAAAGGAAACACTTAAATAACTTTCTAAGTTAGCACAAATTATAATTAACTTAATTTGGTTGCTAACTTGGTAAACATTTGTGACCCAAATTTTCAATTTATAACTGCTTACTATTTTAATACATTTAAGTTCTAACACATCTTTAAACTTGTATGGTCTCCTGAACTACGACTTACTCACCTGGGAGGGTTCCTTTGTTTTAGAGAACTAACTTGTGCTAATTCACAATCTGATGTTAATTTCAAAGTCCGGATAATCTAGAATTTAAAAAAAAAATCATTTATGTGTGAATCTTGTCACAAATAGTAAGATTTTAGAAAGAAAACTATCTTTTAGGTATTTCATTAATTAATGCATTCAGGTTCAATACGGGGCACACAAAGGGATACAGGTAAGTGTGACTTTTGGAGGTATCTATAAATGGTAACAATAGACACTAAGAAATAAGACAGCTACATGATCAGATAAAACTCTGATCAGACTCATTTTGCAACTGTGTTGCTATCTTCAAGTATTTTCTCTTTTTCTGCCCTATTTTCTTAGCTAGATTAACTAAAGATAAAGACCAAATTTTATCACTTTTTTCATCTCCTAGGGTCGCATGTGTAATACAAAGGAAACGACTACTATTGTTTTAGAACTGAAGTCTAGGACACCTAGCCAAGTAGGGTTGTGGCAAACTCTCCTTCTTTAACATTAGAGACTTAGAGGCAGGTAACTAATTAATGGCTTCTCTTAACATTAGAGGCAGGTAAACTAATTAATGGCTTCTCTCCTATACAGCTGATTATCCATGAGAAGTGAGATCCTGAAGATTCAGAGATGACTAGAGAAAGATCTATACCCTTAGGGGTTGAGGCAGAAGTCAGCAAAGATTTGTGATTTAATCTCATTCTGCCAAACTATGAGAAATATGTTTTCTTTCTTTTTTTTTTGGCTCAATTCTGCCCCTCAGGCACATGATTAGATGAAGCTGTCTCTTGACTTGCACAATTTGGGAGGAAATGGGAAGAGAAAAACTTTGCCAGGATTTTGAATTAAATTTTAAAGTCAAGAGTTGAGAGCCATACCTAAATTGTTAATGTGAAGAAAATAGAGTCCTATTCAGTTTGCTACCCTCACTTTTCCTCATTCTTTCATTCTGTTGTCCTAGAAACCTAAACTTTCACCTCAATGCCATCTTACTTGCTCTCAGATCATGTGTTACAAAGACTTCATTGCACTATTTCCCTAACTAGTCAAAAATAACAAAAGGTCATACAAATTTTACATTGTTTGTCTTAGATTTCAAACATTATTTGATTATAACTTAGATTATCCTAACCTATACTGTCATCAACTTAGAATTCTAAATAATAATACAGGTTACGATAATCTCAAAAACAAATTATTATCTTAAATACCATATTCCAAAGCATATAAAATAAGCTACCACAGAAATAACTCACATTGTGAATTATTAAATTACCTGATTCAGGTCACAATATGTTCTTAGAGAAGGTGATAATTGCAATGCTCTTGCTATGTTCATAGCTGCATTCAAATTATTTCTTTTCTCTTCAATGCAGCTTTTAGTCTTTATTAAATTTGATAGATAAGCATCAGCCGTTCTTGCAAATTCTTCACATAGGTTCTTTTTCCTTCATTTAAGATTCCAAAGTTATTTTGCAGTATTTCATAAATATTTATATAAATCTATAGTAACAGTATCTTTAAGAGTAAGTTCAGTAGTTAATGAATTTAACATAACATGGTTAAATAAGGCATAGAGTAACTGCACTGTATCTGAAAGGGTACTTTTACTTGTTGATAAAATTAACATATAACATGGTAAATGAGGCATTAACTTGAACTGAAATGTATTACAGTTTAAAGCTATGCATAGATAATTAGAGAAAAGCAAATTTTGTAGAAGGCAGGAGATTATAAATAGAGATATATAATACACCATCTAAGGCCTGGAGAAGAATCTGAGCTCAGACTCTTCAGGAAATTAAGACTTACAAAAGCAGTTGTATATACAGGGGAACTGAAAAAGCCACACTGACTCCCAGGCAAGATGCATGCTCAGAAAACATCTAAGAAGATCTTAAGCCTGATCTCATGCTGATCTCAGGGCTCAAGGTACAAACAACCACTCAGTGAAGGACTGTTACAGCAAGAGCCAGTCTGCAAAGACTGGGGGAGGTGGCTATTTTTTCCAACGTCCAATTTCAACAAAAATATAACAGGCACACAAAGGAACAGAAAAACATGACCCATTCAAAGGAAGAAAACAGAGTGGTAGAAACTGTTCTCAAAGAAGCACAGGCATTAGACTCAATAGACAGACATAAAACAACTGTCTTAAATATGCTTAAAGAGCTAAAGAAAAACATGGACAAAGAACTAGAGAATAATCAGAAAAACAATATGGGGCAAAATGATAATATCAACAGAGAAATTATATAAAGCAGCCAAACAGAAATTCTAAAGATTGTGTTGAAAAATATGGTAATTTTAATTTTTGAAAACCACCAATGGTTCACCTGCAGTTTTGGACAGGTGAAGGAAAAAATGAACCAACTTGAATATAGGACAATTAAAATAATGAAGTCTGAAAAAAATAAAAACAATGAAGAAAAGTGAACAGAGTCTAAGGAACTTGTGGCTCACTATCAAGCCGACTAAGGTATGCATTGTAGGAATCACAGGAGAAGAGAGAGACAAAGAGACAGAAATTATTTAAAGAAATAATGGCAAAATGAGCTCTATAAATCTAAGAGCTCAAGAACTCCAACTGCTGAAGAACAAGGAGAATCCTCAAAGCAGCACGAGAAATGCAATTTGTTAAGTACAAGAGATCCTCAGTAAGATTATCAGCCAATTTCTCAGCAGAAATCTTGGGAGGAAATATTCTTCAGAAGTGAAGGAGAAGTTAAACATTCCCAGATAAACAAAAGCTAAGGGAGTTCATTATCAATAGACTTTCAGTATAAGAAATGCTAATGAAAGTCCTTCATGTTAATGTGAAAGAAGGCTACACAGCAACTCAAAGCCATACAATGATAAAAACATCTCCGGTAAAGGTAAATACATAGGCAAATATAAAAACCAATATTAGTGTAATTTTCATTTGTAATTCTACTTTTTATTTTCTACAGAATTTAAAGGACAAATACACAAAATATCTATCTTAACGGGTATTCAACATAGAGGAATGTAATTTGTGACATCAAAAAAAAGGGAAGGAGCCCATATGTAAAGCAGTAGAGGTTTTACATGCAACTGAAGTTAAGCTGTCTACTCAATGTAATTCTTATGCATAACCACAAAACCCTATTTACAGAATATGCACAAAAAGAAATGAGAAGGGAAACAAAATTTGTGACTACCAAAAAAAGTCACGTAAACACAAAGGCAGTGATGAAGGAAATAAGCAACAACAAATAAAGCCATAAAACATACAGAAAACAAACCAAATGGCAAAAATCTTCCCTTATCAGTATTTTAAGTGTAAATGGATTAAATTCTCTAACCCAAAGGTACAGATCTGACGAACAGATAAAAAACATGACCCAACTATATGCTGTCACGAAAATTTAACTTTAGGTTTAAAGACATAGAGAATTTGAAAATGAAAGGACAGAAAAGATAATACACAGATAATTTTAAAATGTGGGGTGGCTCTACTAATTTTAGACAAGATAGACTATTTAGACAAGATGTAACAATTATAAGCATATATGCACCAACATTAGAACCTCAAAACGTAATGAAGCAAACACTCACAGAATTAAAGGGAAAAATAAAACTGTCTACAATAATCATAAGAGACTTCAATATCCCCCCTTCTAATATTGGATAAAACAACCAGTACAGAATCAATAAAGAAACAAATTACTTAAGACAACACTAAAGACTGATTGGACCCAGCAGACATATTTAGAACACTATACCCAACAACATGAGAATAAACATTTTCCTCAAGTGTATATGTAACATTTTGAGACAGGACATGTGTTAGACCATGCTGACTAATGTTTAATGTTCAGTAACATTTATTAGTAAGTCTTAATAAACTTAAAGATTGAAATTCTACAAGGTATCTTTTCTGACTACAATGGAATGACCTAGAAATAACAGAAAAAAACAAAACCTGGAAGATTCATAAACGTGTAAAAATTAAACAATGTAATCCTAAATCCCAATGGGTCAAAGAAATCACAAGGTAAATTAGGAAAATATCTGGGACAAATGAAGGAAGAACACAAAATTTATGAGACTCTATGAAAGCAATGCTGACAGGAATTTAAATGGTCTTATTTAAAAAGGAACTTGGAAATGAATAACCTAACTTTATACCATAAGTAACTAGAAAAAGACCAAACTAAACTCAAAGCGAAAGGAAGGAAATAAAGATGAGAGAAAAGATAAACACACAATACAGAAAAATGAAAGCAAAGTTTGTCTTCAAGCTTAGAATTAACAAACCTACAATCACACTAAGAAAAAAAGAATCAGATTACCAAAATCAGAAACAAAGTAGGTAAATTACTATCAATTTTACAGAAATAAAAAGGATTAAAAGACTATTATGAACAACTGTACACAAATTGTGTAACCTAGGTGAAAAGGGCAAATTCCCAGAAACACATAACCTATCACAATTGACTCATAAAAGTATTTTAAAAATCTGTATAGACTTATAACTAATAAGGAGATAGACTCAGTAATCAAAAAGCATCCCAACAAAGAAAAGCTTTGGACCACATAGCTATACTGGTAAATTATACCAAACATGTAATAATTAATACCAATCTTCCTCAAACTTTTCCAAAATACTTGAAGAGGGAGGAATGTTTCCTAACTCATTCTATGAGGCCAAAATTACCAACTCCAAAACCACACAAAGACATCAAACTATAGACCGGTATCATTTATAACTATTAATAGAAAATCCTCAGACAAACTAGCAAACCAAATTCAGCAGCACAGTAAAAGAATTATACAACATGACCAAGTGGGATTTATTCCTGGAAAGCAAGAATTGTTCAACATACAAACATCAATGTGTGATTGATGTTAACACACCACATATAACAGAAAAAAGCAAAAAACCCAAGTGGTTGTCTCAATTGATGCAGAAAAAGGACCTGACATAATTCACTACCTCACTATAATAAAGACCATATAAGGAAAAACCCATAGTTAGCATCACACTCAATGGTGAAAGATTGAAAGCTTTTCTTATAATATTAGGAACAAGACATACCTGCTTTTGCCACTTCTGTGCAACACAGTAATGAAAGCTCTAGTCAAAGCAATTAGATAAGAAAAAGAAATAAGGTATTCAAATCAGAAAGAAAGAAGTAAAATAATCTTTTTGTATGAAGGTATTTTCTTTGCAGACAACATGACCTTACATGTAGAAAACCCTAAAGATGCCATAAAAATACTAAAGCTAATAAATGCATTCAGCAAAAAAGTAAGATACAAAAATCAATATATAAAAATACAGTGTTTTTCTACACAGTAACAATGAATAATCCCAAAAGAAAATTAAGGAAACAATTCATTTTACAATAGCATCAAAAGAAATAAAATACTTAGGAATAAACTTAAGAAGTAAAAAACTTGTATATAAAATTGCTGAAAGAAATTAAAGGCACAAATGAGAAGACATCCCACGTGCATATATTGTTCATGTCAATACTACACAAATTGATCTAAAATTCAATGCACTACCTAAAAAATCCCAATGACATTTTTTGTGAAAACTGAAAAATCCATCCTAAAAGTCATACGAAATCTTAAGAGACCCTGCAAGACAATCTTGAAAAAGGACAAAGCTGTAGGACTCAAATATTCTGATTTTAAAGCTTGCTACAAAACTACAGTAATCATAACAGTGTGGTACTAGCATAAGGAAAAACATTCAGAACAACTGAATAAAACAGAAATCCTAGAAATAATCCTTCACATATATGGTGGGCTCATTTTTGACAAGGATGCCAAGAACATTCAATGGGGGAAGGACAATCTTTTCAACAAACAGTGCTGGGAAAACTGGATATCCAATTCAAAAGGATGAAGTTGGATCCTTACTTTATACCATACACAAATATTAACTAAAAATGAATCAAAGATCTAAACATAAGAACTATAAAACTCTTAGAAGAAAATACACGGAAAAGGCATCATGATGTTAGATTTGGTAATGACATCTTGAATACGACACCAAAAGCACAAGCAACAAAATAAACAACTGGACTTAATAAAATTAAAAACTATTGTGGATCAAAGGACATTGTCAAGAGAGTGAAAAGACAACCCACACGAGAGAAAATATTTGTAAGTCACATAGATTAAAAAATTAATATCCAAAATATATAAAGAACTCCTACAACCCAACAGCAACAAAGTAAATGATTCAATTCCAAAACGGACAAAGGACCTGAATAAACACTTTTTTGAAGACATACAAATGGCCGATAAGCACATTACCAGTCATTAGAAAAATACAAACCAGACCGTAATAATACTCCATTTCACGCTTATTAGAATGGCTACTATCAAAAAAGAAAAACAACAAAAAACAACCTTGTGTATTGCTGGTGGGAGAGTAAAATGGTACATGCAGCCACTGTGGAAATCAGTGTGGCAGTTCCTTAAAAAGTTAAACACAGGCCAGGTACAGTGGTTCACGCCTATAATCCCAGTGCTTTGGAAGGCAAAGGTGGGAGAATGGCTTGAGCCCAAGAGTTCAAGACCAGTCCTGGCAACATAGCAAGACCTCATCTCTACAAAAAATGAAAAATTAGCCAGGTGTGGTGGTATGCACTTATAGTCCCAGCTACTCTGGAGTCTAAGGTGGAAGGATCTCTTGAACCTGACAGTCTGAGATTGCGTCACCGTATTCCAGCCTGGGTAACAAAGCTAGAGTCTGTGTCACCACCACCAACAAAAAAGTTAAACAGAATTACCACATACCTAAACTGTAAGCATAAGAAGGGCTAAAAGGAAAAAAACACAATTGCCTTTCCAAGGGAAAAAAAAAAACCATGGTTAAAGGTAACTTGTGTTATGTGTATTTGACTACCATAACAAAATAAACTCATGCACATGAACTATTACTTGAATGTTATAATTAAAGACCAAATGTGAGACTGTACCAACATGGAGAATATAATATCAACCAATTCATGCATAGATTGAGCCTATGTTCTAGGGATCCTCAAGAATTTTTTTTTTCTTTGAGATGGAGTTTCACTTGTCACCCAGGCTGGAATGCAATGGCATGATCTTGGGTCACTGCAACCTCCACCTCCCAGGTTCAAGTGATTCTCTGGCCTCAGCCTCCCAAGTAGCTAGGATGACAGGCATGAGCCACCCCGCCTGGCCAGGAAATTTTTTTAAAAGCACCTAAAAAATGATTTAGGAGTCAACTGGACAAGTGATGTTACTAAATATATTACTTTGAGCATGCTACAACTTCAAAGAGCTTGTTTCTTGAAATGCATAAGGGAGGGAATATCTACTGTACCTCTGTCATGTTAGTAAATATATGTCAAATGGCTTTCTAAATAGGTGACAGATGTATATAAGTTCAAGGTATTTAGCAATACCTATTAGGTTTCTGCTCTGTTGCAAAAAAGCACATGAAAAAATGACAGATCTATAAAAAACTATGTATTTTCCTAAATATATAGAATTCCACAACATAAGTTATAAAAATCTTTTTCTGTGCTAACTGCTTTAAGAAAAAAGTTTATTTACTTTTTTGAGATGGGGGTCTCGCTTTGTCACTCAGGCTGGAGTACATTGGCAGGATCACCGCTGTCTTCAGTCTTGACCTCTTGGGCTCAACAAATCCTCCCACCTCAGCCTCCCATGTAGCTGGGACTACAGAAATGCACACAATGCCTGGCTACTTTTTTTTGTACAGATGGGGTCTCACTACATTGCCCAGGCTGGTCTCAAACTCCTGAGCTCAAGAATCCTCCCATCCCAGCCTCCCAAAGTGAGCTGAGACAGGATGATCACCTTGTGATCCTACGGGTATGAGCCAATGCACCTGGCCCAAGCTTGTTTACTTTAACAGTTAACAGCTTCAGCTGGGCACTGTGGTGCACGCCTGTAATCTCAGCACTTTAGGAGCTTGAGGCAGGACCATCTCTTGAGGTCAGGAGTTTGGGACCAGCCTGGACAATATAGTGAGATACTTGTCTCAAAAAAAAAAAAAAAAAAATTAAAACCCACAAAATTAGCTGGATGTGGTGGTGTGTGCCTGTAGTTCCAGCTACTTGGAAGGCTGAGGTGGGAGAATCACTTCAGCCCAGGAGCTTGAGGCTGCACTGAGCTATTATCACACCACTGCACTCCCGCCTGGGCAACAGTGCAAGACTCTGTCTCAAACAACCATTAGCTTCAGCACCAGAAGGTAAAACCCCAAATTTTTGAAACTTACACATTTTCAAGTTCTAAAAATCAGTCTGTAGGGACCACCAACTTTCAAACTTGTTTAAAGTTACCCATTACTTGGTGGCTCACACCTGTAATCCCAGCACTTTGGGAGGCTGAGGCAGGTGGATCACGAGGTCAGGAGTTCAAGGCCAACTTGGCCAACAGAGTGAAACCTCGTCTCTACTAAAAACACAAAAATATTGGGGGGGCGTGGTGGCAGGCACCTGTAATTTCAGCTACTCATAAGGCTGGGGCAGGAGAACTGCTTGAACCTGGAAGGCGGAGGTTACAGTGAGCCAAGGTGGCACCACTGCACTCCAGCCCAGGTGACACTGCGAGACTCCGTCTCAAAAAAAAAAAAAAAAAAAAAAACCCATTATTTCATTCTAAACAAATGAATACAATGACAAGTTAGTGTTAAAAATTTCCATTTCATTCAGTCTGTATTTTTAAGTTACTACCTGGAATCAAAAAGAGCCGTAAGTTGGTCAAACTGTTTCTCCACAACTTCTATAACACTTTCTGTCTCCTCTCTTGTTTGCTTCTGCATGTGTTCAAGTATCTGGAAAAAAGACAAAGACTTAATTTTGGAATTTTTATTTTGTAGAAGTTGTAGAATTTTGGAAGTCAAAGGTACTTTCTAAACTCTTCAAAGTAACACAAGAGGTAATTATTATATAAATAGAATATGTCACAAGGTTCAACTTTAAATCTTGTAACTTGTGAGCAAGACTGTATCTTTTTTGTTTGTTTTACTGAGACAGGGTCTCACTTGGTTGCTGCCCAGGCTGGAGTGCAGTAGGCTGAGCATTGCTCACTGTAACCTTGAACTCCTGGGCTCCTGCCTTGGCCTCCTCAGTAGCAATGACTACAGGCACACAGCTCCATGTCGAACTCTTTTTTTCTTTTTTGCGGGTGAGGGTAGGGACAAGTTCTCATTATGTTGCCCAGGCTGGTCTCAAACTCCTGGCCTGAAGTAATCCTCCTGCCCTGGCCTCCCAAAACACTGGGATTACAGGTGTGAGCCACCACATCTGGCTTTGTTGGCATTTTCTATTGATAATATGGCAACAACACCTAAAAAAATCCACTGATATGTGTACACTAAATTTTTTTCTTATTCCTTTTTATCATTACAGGAAATAAGTCATTTTAAGTAGCTGAATTTCTCTTTGATAGGATTCCCTGGATTTAATAAAATATTAAGTATTACACAATCTTAGTATTTTTGAAGTTTTAAGTACTGTTGCTTGAATCCATGACCCCTTTTTTCCTCCCAATTTCTCCCATTTAGAATAGAAATGTCTTATTCCTGTTTCACCAATGTATTTTAGAAGCAAGCAAGTTCTTGTCTCATTTCATGGGGCTCATAGACAGGAATTTTGCCCTAGGATGAATCACATCTCTTGAGTCTTCACCAATACCTGACTTAGAAGGTGAGATTTTAATTAATTTTTATTTATTTATTTTTTTAGAGACAGAGTTTCACTCTGTCAACCAGGCTGGAGTGCAGTGACATCATCTCAGTTCACTGCAACCTCTGCCTCCCCGGTTCAAGTGATTCTCGTGCCTCAGCCTCCCAGTAGTTGGAACTACAGATATCTGCCACCATGCTCAGCTTTCTGTTTTTCTGGTTTTTTTTTTTTTTGAGACTGAGTCTCTCTCTCTCTACCCAGGTGGGAGTGCAGTGGCACGATCTGGGCTCACTCACTGATCTGGGCACTCTGCCTCCTGGGTTCAGGCAATTCTCCTGCCTCAGCCTCCCAAGTAGCTAGGATTACAGGCACAGGCCACCATGCCCGACTAATTTTTGTATTTTTAATAGTGATGGGGTTTAGCCATGTTGACCAGGCTGGTCTTGAACTCTTATCTCAAGTGATCTGCCCACCTTGGCCTCCCAAAGTGCTGGGATTACAGGAGTGAGCAAGGGTGCTGGCCCAGAAAGTGAGGTTTTTATACTTATAACTGATGCTGCAATGGGTTAAATTTTGGGGGATGTTGGCATGGGGTAAATGCATCTTGCATTGAGAAGGACATGAATACTGAGCACTAGAGGGCACTGTTTTGAGTTGGATTGTGTCCCCACTCTCCCAAATTCAGATACTGAAGTCCTAACCTCTGGTTAATTTACCACTGATTTGCTCTTCTCTACTATATCTGGTACTAGTTATTGCTTATCACAGGTGACATCCTTTTTTCCCCTTTTTCTCTCAATGTTAGTTTTTCTCTAAAAACTCTTCTAGCTTATTACTTTTATTCCTCTTGAGAAACGACTTTTGATAGTGACCCTTAGCCAATCAAAAATGTCTTGTCCTTCTCTGCAAAAAAGCAGCCACAACATAATCAGCTATACCCTTTTGATTTCCTTGATTGTAAATTTTGTTGCTAGGTGCTGAAGAGCTTGTTTTGTGTCACCAAATGAGAGAGTCTCTTTTGGAAGGCAGAGTAAGGAGAGAGAGAGAGAGAGACTCCCTCTGTAAGGTGGGGATAACAGCAAACAGTGAGTAAATGTTGAAAAGATAATCTGCAATGCTTCTGAGACAAAATTCAGCCCACAGCAAGTAGATTTCATGGTTCCTTATTAAAGCTCGAATTTTATTAAGTTCCTAGCACAGCAATGCTACAAGACCAATCTTGGCAGGCCATGGGAAAAGTTTCCCATTCTTTTTTAGATTATCTTAATAACCCAGTGCTAAGCTCTAACCTCAGTGTTAACATATCCAAATATACACACTTAAAGAGGACATGCTTTACTTCATGATAGAATTTAATCATGCAAAGTGCTTACTTTTCCAGCAATACTTAATTGTTCAAAGTTGTGGTGTGCTGTCTTCAATGCTTCATCAATTTCTTCTGCAGTGTTAATGTCCTAAGAAAGGAGGGGAATCACACACAAATATAAAACTAAAAAACATATGCTTAGATATGTATATTATACTCGCAAAAAATTCAGGCTACCATTTTGGTTACAAAAGCAACATAGACTCACTACAGAAAAGTTAAAACAAGCAACAAAAATAACGGTCAATCCTGCTTACCTGGAGATAAAAACCATTCATATTTTAGAGCTTTGATTAGACCATTCCAGATTTTTTTTAGAAAGATATATTCTTTTAATAGGATCATGCCCTGTAATAATCTTTTCAACTTAAAACTACCTTGAACAATTTATCATGGCAATACATGTATACATATAAAAATTATAAATAGTTCTTAAGAAAAAAAAGATTATAATTTGACTCCACTAAGATTTACACTTGAAGGAAAAGGAGTAAAATTAAGTGCTTTTTCTCCTTTCTCTGTCCATTGACTTTTTTTTTTTGGAGACAGAGTCTTGCCCAGGCTAGAGTACGGTGGTGCTAACTCCACTTACTGCAACCTCCGCCTCCCAGGTTCAAGCCATTCTCATGCCTCAGCCTCGAGAGTAGCTGGAATTATAGGTGTGTACCACCACAATTGGCTAATTTTTGTATTTTTAGTAGAGATGGGGTTTCACCAAGTCAGCCAGGCTGTTCTTGAATACTTGGCCTCAAGTGATCTGCCAGCCTCGGCCTCCCAAAGTGCTTGGGGTGACAGGCAGGAGCCACTGCGCCCGGCTTTCACTAATGATCTTAACACAAAAATTTAATACTTCACTCAACATCATTTTGGAATTTGTTCTATTTCTAATCTTAATACATTATTTAAAGTTATCAGGAGTAGATAAAAGGTAAAATTCAATCGAGCAATAACATTAACAACAACAAATGCAGTTAGGCCTTTTGGTTGCCATTTAAATAAATGGAAAAAAAATCACACTTAAAATTTAAAAACTTGGGCTTTATATGTTTCACAGAACCTGGATTCAGTAACTAGTTTCAAAGGAAAGAAGCTTCACACATGTAAATATCAAGAACTTTGAAACAGAGTTACTCAAAGGTAGAATGGATTGCCCTGAAAGAAAAGAGAACTGTCTAAACACAGAACAAAACAGATTCAAGTAGGACAGTGGGCTTACTTCTGTTACCTATAAATTTCCAAAAGAATCTATAATCATAGAAGAAAGTTAAGCTACTAGAGACAAAGTCAAACGTTTGCGTTCATCGTACTTCATGACCAACGTATTTCATACCAACATTACAGCTGATGAGTTCAAAACAGTCCTGTGTGTGGATGCTGAATGTTCTAAACCAGTAGTTAGCTGATCAGCAGTCTTCTTAAAGTCCTGAGAACAATTCTTTATTCTGAAAAGTGTCAAATATATTATTTTATTTTTTGAGACAGGATTTTTCTGTCACCCAGGCTGCAGTGCAGTGGCACCATTATGGCTCACTGCAGCCTCAACTTCCCAGGCTCCAGCAATCCTCCCACCTTAGCTGGGATCCTCCCAATTAGCTGGGACCATAGGTGTGTGGCACCGCACTCGGTTAATTTTTGTTTTTTGTTTTTTGTAGAGATGAAATTTCAAAATGTTGCCCAGGTTGGTCTCAAACTCCTAAGCTCAAGCGATCCACCTGCCTCAACCTCTCAAAGTGCTGGGATTACAGTCACGAGCCACTGTGCCTGGCCCAAGTACATTATTTTAAACACCAACATTAATGTAATGACTTTAATCTTCTATTCAGATTTTCACCATAAAAAATAACTCATGACTTATAAGAACATGTACAGTAAGTTATCAATTAACTATAAATGTAAAGAGAGAAACCACAAGTAAATATGCTTTCATACAAATTTTAAAGAAAACAAATTCCAAAAACAATGGCTTAAAGTATATATTGTGTTTTAATTACAGTACTTAATTACTGGTCCTTATGTGGTATTTTTTGGTACAAATGATGATAATCACTGAAATGTGTTAAGCTCATCAATTAAAGTGAGTGTTTATACATACAAAGCCAGCTATTAAAAAGCTTGTACTCAACAAGTCTGGAGAATTTACAAAGAGGTAATGAATTTAACTAGGCAAGTTAATGGCAAAGAAAAAGTTCATTGCATTGTCTAGTATATAGAAGTCAGAGTTTTATTTATTTATTTATTTCAGATACGGAGTCCCACTGTGTTGCCCAGGTTGGTCTTGAACTCCTGGACTCAAGTGATCCTCCTGCCTCAGTCTCCCACGGTGCTAGGATTACAGGCATGAGCCATCATGTCCAGCAAGTTTTATCTTTATATAACCATATTGGCTAGCACACTGTAACCAGTGTTTGCTGAGTTAACAACAGCTTATAGCTTATGGAGGAAACTATGATGTTTAAATGTCACTCTTATGCAGAAAAATACTAAACCAAATAATTTTTTAACATTCTATTACTTTGAAAAGTGAATGTTCATGTTCTTAAAAACATGAATGCATTAGCCCCGAGGATCCCATTATTGAATTCCTGTTTCAAAACATTAAAAACAAATCAGTGAAGAAATGAGCCAAGGGTTACTGTAATTTAAAAATATACAACCATTTAAAACCAAACTGTACCTTAAATAATAGTTACTAATATAAGTATAATTGACATAAATTTAATTTTTTAAATGGTTATTTGGAACAAATTTGGGTATTTTCTGGTTAAGATGGATTCCTCTACCTCTGAAAGTAAAATTTCACTTTGCAACTCTGACATTATAAACAGTACAATCTGGTCTGGCTTGCATGACATGTCAGAAAATTTCACACAGCAGTACAGATCTCTAGTTTGAGGAAAAAAGATCTGGCAACACTGGGTTGATCTTAACACATAGCAGTAATTGGCTACAGCTGACTAACAACTGCATCCTTTGGAGGGAGTAAGCCCTCGGCATCAACTGCTAGCCTCACCACTCATTGTTTCAACTCAGTTGACCTGACCACCCAGTAAGTTATCTGCTTAACTCCTGTAGGTGTTCAAATTTGGAAGCCCTAAATTTGATAAAAATGGCTACTCCACGGGGACTCACAATAAGCCAGAAGATTATCTTAAAGGTTTATTCTAATAACTCTACATAGAGCTCATGGAGGACGTGACCAGTGGTATAGGAGTTGGGAGCAGTACTGGTATTCAATAAACCTAGTTTTACATTCTGGTTCTGTGAATAACCAGCTGCCAGACTTTAGCTAAGTGGTTTTACTACCCAAAGAAAATGGCTACAACCATTTTTTGTTTTTTTTTTTTTTCTAAGTACTCATTTAGGTCTGGAAAGAGAAGCTACAGTTGTAATATGAAGTGCCAGGAATTCTAGACTGAAGAATTTTGAATTTTAATTGAATAATCAATAAACAACTATAGCATAAAGCAGAGTCTGATAAGGAGCTAAACAAAAGAACAAGAGAAATAAGGCAGTAGAAATTAAAACAGGTTATGGATATAGGAGATACTATGGAAGTCATCTAACGGGGGTAAAATGAATGCAATAGGAGGAACTGAGGTGATTTATAAATACTTGATGCCATTAACAAAATTGGAGAGCTCCACATGAAATTGTTCCTTGAAAGAATTTTATTTCTTGCATAGTCTACTACCATACTAAATATGCTTTAAAAAGTTATATACAATTTACCATTTGAGTACAGTTCTAGGAAATTGATCAGAAGGTCCTTTAACACTTAAAAAGTTACAAAAATCAAACACGTAATAAACATTGCATGTTTACCCTGTGTCCCAAACCAGAGATATAAAGAGGAATAAAATGTGCTCCATTCTCTTAAAAGGGCTTACAGACTAGCAGGGAAAGACAGAAACATTAAGTGAAATAATCAGTAACATGTACTCATCTCTAGCTCGGTGTATTAAAAAAATAAACTCAAAAAGAGAATCTATTAATGCATACATGTGTAAAGTCTCATACAATAATGAAAAAATGAATAAAAGAACTCCAAAGGTATTATTTCTCCTATAAATCACTTCTCAAAACAACTCTTCACTAAGTCTTCCACTATACTGTACTTGCGCTACTTTTAAGAGTGAAGAGAACCTGGGTGCAGCGGCTCATGCCTACAATCCCAGCACTTTGAGAGGTTGAAGCAGAAGGATCACTTAAAGTTAGGAGTTTGAGACCAGCTTGGGCAACACAATGAGATTCCACATCTACAAAAATAAAAATTAAAAATCAGCTGTGCATGCTGGTGCATGCCTGTAGTCCTAGATACTCCAGAGGCTGAGGTGAGAAGCTAGCTTGAGCCCAACAGTCTGAGGCTGCAAGTGAGCCATGATCACAACCACTGCACTCCAGCCTGGGTGACACAGTGGGACCCCGTCTCTCAAACAACTCAATTTAAAAAATTTTTAAAAAGAATCAAGAGAAGACTAAGCTATTTCTTTCTCTATAACTTCCTTTCATCCAGCACGAGTAACTTTAACCAGTATCACTTTCAGCCTTTCTTGATTGGTAATCCTTAAATTTCTTTCTTTAAATAAGGACAAACAAATGCTGCTTCTTTAAAGAGCTGGAGTCTCCATTCCACTGACAGCTAAAATGAATCATGAACTTAAAGAGCACTCCATAAACAGTGGGTTAGAAATACAGATTTAAGAATGGCATTATCAGTAATTCTAAAACTATTCCAGTTAACACACTGACTCTAAATATTCAAATAAATACACATGGGACATACGTCTTAGGCCGCAGTTTTGCCATTACAGGGTCTTCTTTAAAACATCCAGCCATTAAGTAGTAGCCTTGTCTAGTATTCACAGCTGTAGCAACCTTAGGACGAAATAAGGGTTTAAAAAAACAAAGACAGTTATCTAATACATTGTTTATCCAGAACCTAAACAACTATTTAAGTGTACCTTTCATAAAGTTAATACCCTAAAAAGCCTGAAATCCTCTGTAAATCAAGGAGAAAATTGTACTTATATGATGTTTTGATCCATTTTAATCTTTGAAAGAAATCAGGAATGTGGCAACTATTAATTTTTAGTTAATTAAGAAAAACACTTCATTCTACCGTAATTCTAAAGGAAATATTAGCAATACTTTCAATTTTACTTTAAAAATTTTAGGCCAGGCACAGGGGCTCACACTTATTATCCTAGCACTTTGGGAGACCAAGGTGGGTGGATTACCTGAGGTCAGGAGTTCGAGACCAGCCTGGCCAACATGGTGAAAACTCGGTCTCTGCTAAAAATACCAAAAAAAAAAAAAAAAAAAATAGCTGGGCATGGTGGCGGGCACCTATAATCCCAGCTACTCGGGAGGCTGAGGCAGGAGACTTGCTTGAACCTAGGAGGTGGAGGCTGCAGTAAGCCAAAACTATGCTATTGCACTCCAGCCTGGGAAACAAGAGTAAAATTCTGTCTCTCCAAAAAAAAAAAAGAGGGGGGGAGGATGGGACAGGTCACTTATCTCTAAAAGTTAAAACTAGTCAAAATGATACAAAATAGATTTATCACAACATTAAAATCAAACTTAGTATTTGTAAACACATTATAAACACTCTTACCCATTATCCAAAATCCTAAATAGTACAAGTATAATAATTTAAGAACATTAAATATGAAATCATTTGCCAAAAAAGGCAAAAAGTACTGTTCAAACATTAAAAAAAATATATTAAAACAGGACAGATATGGACACAGATAGTTCCAGCTGCCTGCTTTCTTTTCCCTTCACTTATTTTTCACCCACAACACTGAATCCATCGGGGATCTACCACAACCACAGGAGGAGGGCTCACTTCATCTTAACCACATAGCCAACCACATCTGAGAAGCCCCATGTCAAAAAAAGAGAACAGGTTAGGAATTTCCCACAATAATATATCCAAAATAGACAGCTTCTGATATGTAATTTGTTATAATTGAAACTTTTACTAATTACAATATATGGGTTTTTTTTTTAAAACCATATTTAACTTGCAAGCCAGTTAATCCAAACCTAAATAATGAAGGGTTATTTAGTAGTCTGGAAGCTTAGAAAGAACTTTTACATAATTCAGATTTGATTCTTAGCAATCCTAGGAGATAAGACAAGGCAGGTATTATATCCATCTCACATATGAGGAAACCCAGGCTAGGTTGACAGAATGAGAACTACATTCTAGGTCTCATGTCTCCATATGGTCTCCCACACTGCAACAGAAAACAAATGATTCAAAGCCTTATCATCTGACTTCTCCAGTAAAACATTAAGAATTTACAGCTTGAGGCTACTTTCCAAGAACATACTATATGAACTGAACTATACTTATATTTCTATTAAATGTATAGGATATCAAATAAATTTTATTTTACATCCTTAATTCTCGTTCTTACAGACAGATTTAATCTTAATGGAATTGCTTTTTCAGTGCTTCTGAAGCACAGATTTTAGGCAGTAATTTTGCTTCTCTACATTTTTGTAGAATGGCATCCACAAATGTACAGTTGATGACATAACAAAGGTTGAGGGGCAAGAGGAGTTCAAAATTTGCTTGCATGGATTGGTGTGTAAAACGGTGGCTAGGGTTTTTAAAGGAATATACACCATTAAAGTAAACAAAGAGACAATTTTCCACAGAAGTCCCCAAAGAATCAAAATATGCAGGCCAATAAGGTAACACTTTAGCCTTTTATTTTTATCACTTTGAACAAAATTATAAAATGGATAGGAAAAGTTTTATCTTGTGTTAGGTTTCTTTGCTTAAAGATTCAGCAGCAAAAATGCAAGGGTTTAGTCCCCGCCCCTCCTCCCCCCACTTTGTATCTCGCTCTGTGGCTAGGCTGAAGTGCAGTGGCACGATCTTGGCTGACTACAACCTCCACCTTCCGGGTTCAAGTGATTCTCCTGCCTCAGCCTCCCTAGTAGCTGGGACTACAGGCGCACGCCACCGCGCCCAGCCAAGTTTTTAGCTTCTAACTAGAAGTGTTTTACTTCTGTAGTATTTTTACCATTAACATTATATTGTGATGTGTTTAATGTGAAAAATTATAAAACTTACCTCACAATCAGGGCATGTAATTGTAGTGCATTCTTCAGTTATTAACAAGCACAGTTCACATAAAGCATGTCCACATTGAAGTTCATAATGATGACCTATTGATGAAATTATTATTATTTTGATAATGATTATCAAGACAGTGTCTTGCTTTGTTGTCCAGGCTGGAGTGCAGTGGTGTCATCACAGCTCACTGCAGCCTCCACCTCTTGGGCTCAAGCAATCCTCCTACCTCAGCCTCCCAAAAGTAGCTGGGACTACAGGTGTGTCCCAAAACACCCTAATTTAACAGATGAAATTCTATTGCGATTAAACTGTCCATGGTGTGTTAATGCTAAACGGGTAATACTGATCAAAGGGAAATTCAAAGGGGATCCTACTGTACAGGAAAAGATACCTACTACAGTTTGAAATGGGTGAATTACTGAATATACATAAGGAGTAACCAACTATTCACTGTCAGGAGGGAGAAAAATCAAGAACAAAAACCAAGCAGAGCTATGTAATAGCATTTGCAGGAACTCAGATAGCTATTTTGTACCTAGAATACTTTATATTGTATTCATAAATATTCAATATTGTATTCATATTGTATTCATAAATATATTCATATTTATATTTATGAATCTGCCATATCTTATAATTATACAAAGTGTTCTGACACATTTTGTTTGTTCTTTGTAAATACCACAGTTAAGTGGGCTGGAGATAAAATAGCATTTTGGAAACTGGGTTAACTAAATGGTATAATCCACACTCCAATCCATTTCTGTTTCCAAGTCTAACATTCTGATTGATCATACTGCCCTCTACTGCTTTATATTTCCCATCCTGTGAAGAGGTCAGGAAGGGCCAAACCTTCCTGGCAAGACCGTGCTCTCAGAATTTACGACACTGGCAAGGCCAGAAGCCAGATGCTATTATCATCACACACCCACAACTCACATAAAGATCATTTTCACAAACAGCATTTACGAAAGGAAATACCATAACTTGATTGAAAACCTAATATGATTTAAATCATCTAAGTAGAATTACAAGTTTATAATAAGTAACATTTGTTTTAGCTACATAATTTCAAGGATTTTTAAAGTTTTGCAAGAAAAAAGGAAAAAACTAGATAAAAATCAGTCATCTTTTACTAGCAAAATATTTTATAGAGTTCATGCTGAATTATAATAATTGCATTTATTTTTTTATTCTGAGACGAGTCTCGCTCTGCTGCCCAAGCTGGAGTGCAGTGGCAGCATCTCGACTGACTGCCACCTCTGCCTCCTGGGCTCATGGGATTCTCCTGCCTCAGCCTCCTGAGTAGCTGAGATTACAGGTGCAGGCCACCATGCCTAATTTTTTGTATTTTTAGTAGAGAAGGGGTTTCTGTCATGTTGTCCAGGCTGGTCTCGATCTCCGACCTCAAGTGATCCGCCGGGCTCGGCCTCCCAAAGTGCTGGGACTATAGGCGTGAGCCACCGTGCCCAGCCTTGCATTAATTTTATTTTTTAAAAAACGTTTACAAGTTTCCGACCCAACTGAAATACCTGAAACTTATTACAACCACGCGAAATTTTAAAGCCCCATTTAACTTCCACAGATAAAACTGCCAACAAAGTTAAAACACTTAACTGTTCCTATAAAATTTCTGATACTGAATAACTTAATCTGTCGTACATTACAGCTTAAAAAGCACTTTCCAGATTCTAAGCACATAGCCACTACTTTTCCAACTGAGTTTTTCTAAGCATTATAATACAAATGTACGGAAGAATTACTCATTTTAAAAGGTTGTGTTCTAGAACTATTCAGTAATTTTTATTTCATTCAAAAATGGAGACTTTCTACGTAAAGGCAGCAGTGAGGTAAACCCCAAGTAGGAGAAACTTGATTCTCCATTGAAATCACAGCTTTTTCTGCAAAGGCGCACATCTCAGAGTCCATCTTGACAGGACTGAGAAAACTGATAGAATGACCTGAATAACTTTGGAAGTATAAACATTAAACGGTTACACCAGGTAATACGAATTTTTCAGTAGCTCCAGGAGTTGTGATTCCACAACTCATCTGTATCAGAGCACTCTATTTTAAATTACATTAAAATAACTTAAACCTGTGATCACTTGAGTAGATTGTAGATGAACAGGTCAATAGTAGTGCAGTGTATTTTTCCCTTCACGTATAAAGACCAACACACACACACACACACACAAACACAAGGTGCACAAAAGAAACTATCATTTTCCAAACAGTGCTTTAGGTGAATGTGAGCCATAATGTAAAAAAACAAACAAAAAAACCACACAAACAAAAAAATGCTCACATCAACAAAAAATCCAAAACCATTTCACAGTGGTCTGCTTGCTACTCCTACAACAAAAACTACGCAAGAAAATCAAGTTTCATTCCTTTTTGATGATGAAACAATGGGCTGCATTTCTACGTCTACTTTTGCACGAACCCGCCAACCTGCCGCGTGAGGGGTCAAGTGACCCGGGCCCCCATCCTCCCAGCTGGAGGGTTGGTGAGGCCTGAGTGCGGAAGTGGAGAAAGCCATGAAAGGGGCGGCTGCGGCTCTAACCAACCCAACGGCGGCCTTCTTGGGGGTCGTCTGCAGCTCGCTGGAGGCCTGTGACGCCGCTTCCGGGGACACCTAGCTTGGATGCAGCCGACCAGGCCTCACGCGCCCACCAGCTCACCTGGCCCCCAGCCCTCCCTCCAGGCTGCCTCCCCACTAGGTGGGCCCTTGGGCTCCTCACCGGATGCTCTGGACACCCTCCTTCCACACCTGGTGCACGGGATTTCAGCGGCCCCCCAGGGCTGACTCTTCCTCCCCATCCACTGGTAGGAAGACCGGGCAGACGCAGCCTTCGAAGGTTCTGCCGCCATCGCTGTCTCTTTCTTCTGGAACAATCGCAGCGTGCTAGTACCGGCGGCCCTCGCGGCAGCGACCAATCATGGGAGGCCAGCGCCTGCAGCTAGCCAATCAGTGGGTCTGGAAATTAAAGCCCGCCCCTGAGCTCGCCCTTGAGGGGGCTGGGGCTGTTTTCCGTTATCCTGGGCGTTACCACTCCTAGAAGGGGCGCTTTGTGGTCGTTAAGGACCGTTCACTTTTACGTTCTACCCAAATGGTCACCACTTTAGCACTTTCAGTCATCCCAAGTTAAAATGTATTTTAAATGTTATTACTTACATTGCGGGTAATTTCATAAGTAATAATAATTTGTATTGAAGCAATCCCCTTTTCCTACTATGTGTCAGGACTAGAAGCCCTACACCTGTGTGCTGGAGGCATCCAGGGCTTGGTTAATAGGAGCTGGAGTGGAGAAGCTAATCAGCAGCCGTCACTGGGGGAGATTCAGTGAATGCTTTCAAATTAAGGAGTGCTCACCATTACTGCTGTTGAGCCTAATGATATACAAGGCAGTGTGCTGAGAGTGGTTGGGGATGCTAAGAATTTATAAACGAACAGGTTTCTGCCAGAGAGGTATATAACTCCCTTAAAAAACGGTAATTTCCACCAAGATAGCTAAGTGTTAAGTGCTGGACGTGTGTTAGGGACAATAAGAATTACTGTGGTCTGCCAGGCGCAGTGGCTCACGCCTGTAATCCTAGCACTTTGGGGGGCTGAGGTAAGTGGATCACCTGAGGTCAGGAGTTCGAGACCAGCCTGGCCAATGTGGTAAAATCCTGTCTCTACTAAAAATACAAAAAAATTAGTTGGGCCTGGTGGCGGGCGCCTGTAATCCCAGCTACTTGGGAGGCTGAGGCAGGAGAATCTCGAACCCTGGAGGTGGAGGAGCCGAGATGGCGCCATTGCACTCCACCCTGGGCAACAAGAGGAAACTCTGTCTCAAAAAAAAAAAAATTACTGCATTCTGAAGAAATGAAGTCAATATGGTCTACAGTGGTATGAAAAGTCTTCCTAGAGGATACACGGTTTGCATTAGACCTTACAAGATAGGTAGTACTTACAGGAGTAAACAAGAAATAAGGGATTCCAAGGATAAAGAACACATCAGCGAGGGAAGGGGGATGGAAGACACAGTGGCTTCTTGAGAATTTTAAGGCCATTTAGCCAGAGTACGAGTTTCCTTAAAATAGGTTTATTTGGAGAGGCATGTTAGGGAAGAATTTCGGAGAATCTCGAGTGTCGGGCTGAGGAGTTTGGACTTTACTTTTTTTTTTCTTTTTCTTTTGAGACAGAGTTTCGCTCTTATTGCCCAGACTGGAGTGCAGTGGCTCACTAGGCTCACTGCAACCTCTGCTTCCCGGGTTCAAGCTATTCTCCTGCCTCAGTTTCCTGAGTAGCTGGGATTTACAGGCATGCGCCACCCCAGCTGGCTAATTTTGTATTTTTAGTAGAGACGGGGTTTCTCCATGTTGGTCAGGCTGGTCTGTAGCTCCCAACCTCAGGTGATCTGCCCGCCTTGGCCTCCCAAAGTGCTGGGATTATAGGTGTGAGACACCGAGCCTGACCTGGACTTTACTCTTTAAGCAGTAGAGTACATGAGATGTTTTGTGAGCAAGGAATGAAGTAATCTGGTAGTAAGGTGGCAGTTGTATTTCAAACAAATCACCTGGATGTGGCAAGGTTGCCTTTTGCTGCTAAGAATAAAAGCCTGGCCATATTCCTCATTTTTTCTCTCTCTCTACAATGTGTGTGGTGAAACAGAAACTGTGACGAATTCTGTTCAAAGGCTCATTTCTGCTCAAAAATATTTGTAATTTGTTGCCTTTAAGAGAAAAGTACTCCCTAAATTATCCCCATTCTAGTGCTCACCCAATAGTTTCTGCTACTAATCCGTGATGGAACTCCGAGCACTAACCAAGCGATAATTCTCATGTAACCGATTGACTCTTCTACAGTTTGAGCACTATTCCCTATTCCCCTCATCTGGAATGCTCATTGTTCACTCTTCCTTTTTTTTTTTTTTTTTTTTTTTTATTAAGAAATGGAGTCTCGGCGGGGCGCAGTGTCTTACGCCTGTAATCCAGCACTTTGGGGGGCCGAGGTGGGCAGATCACCTGCAGATCACGAGGTCAGGAGACCGAGACCATCCTGGTCAACATGGTGAAACCCCGTCTCTACTAAAAATACAAAAAAATTAGCTGGGCGTGGTGGCGCGCACCTGTAGTACTAGCTCTTCTACAAGCTGAGGCAGGAGAATTGCTTGAGCCCGAGAGGCGGAGGTTGCAGTGAGCTGAGGTCGCTCCACGGCACTCAAGTCTGGCACCTGGCGACAGAGTGAGACTCTGTCTCAAAAAAAAAAAAAAGAAAGAAAGAAATGGAGTCTTGCTCTGTTGCCCAGGTTCAAGCAATTCTCCTGCCTCAGCCTCCTGAGTAGCTGGGACTACAGGTGCACTCCGCCACGCCAGGCTAATTTGTTGTATTTTAGCAGAGGCAGGGTTTCATCATCCTGGGATGGTCTCAAACTCCTGCGCTCAGGCAATCCGACGGCCTCGGCCTCCCAAAGTGCTAGGATTACAGGCGTGAGCCACCGCACCCGCCCATATTCTCCTTATCCTTCCTGGGTCAGCTTTAGAAGCACTTTCTTCTCAACCTTCACATTTCTCTTCATGCTTGGTGCTACTCTGGCACGTAGCAAGCCTTTTTTTTTTTCCTCTAGGATAGCTGAATGTAATTTGAATAATGACAATCTCACTGCATGGGATTCATCTTGGGCCATAAAGTGGATATTTAATGCGGCTCTTGAGTTTCACCAGAGATGACTTTGGTAATCCCGGAAATTGAATTAATCTTGAATAAATCAGGGCGAGTGAGAAATACACTGATATATGTTTATACCACATTCGTTAGCTTCTTAGCACTTACCAAGAGCCCTCAAATAGAGGAGCCAGTGTTGTCTTCTTAACATTCAATTTGGGTTGTTTGAATCCTTTGTCTGGAAACCTTTAATGGCTTCCTGTGAACTGCAACAAAATGTTAAATGGCCGTGGAGGCTTGCGCTCTGCCTGCTTCTCTACCAGAGTGCCTTTCTAGTGCTCTAAAATCATCTCCTAAACAAATGAGAAATGAGAAAAACCGGACTCCCATCTTGAGTACACAATTTTTATAAATTGCATTGGACCTACAGTAAATGTCTTTTAGAGAGTTTCACTAAAGCTAAAGAGAAATTCAAAGATCAAATGGCAGCAGTAGATCAGAAAAAGAATGTAGAACAAATATGTTATATATCTATATAGGAAAATGTATGTGATTTATAAGTGAAAACAGCATAGTAGTAAATTCTCATGCATATGGCAAAAACTAGAATGTAATTATGTAACTATATAGACTATACATGGGGAAAAAAAGATTGAATAATGCAGTCTATTTTTTTAAGGCAGGGTCTCACTGTGTCACCCGGTCTGGAGTGCAGTGGCACCATCATGGCTCACTGCAGCCTGGACCTCCAGGTCTTAAGCTCTTCTCCTGTCTCAGCCTCCCAAGTAGCTGAGACTCTAGGCACAGGCCACCATACCTGGCTAATTTTATTTTATTTTATTTCTGCAGAGATGGGGGCTCACTATGTTGCCCAGGCCGATCTACCCAGCCTTGGCCTCCCAAAGTGCTGGGACTACAAGCATGAGCCACCATGTCTGCCAGCAATGTTTATTGAATAATACAATTGTGGGTAGGAACAGGGATAACTGTTTTTACTCCAAGCATCATGTAATGTTGTGGTGGGGGATGCATATTTGTCTTCTCAGATGTCTTCTGATTGCTACCACCTTCTTGCATAGCAGAAGGGCCTGAAAGAAAATGAAACAGAGGCACAGAGAGACACAAAAGCAAGAAACAGAGAGGTACTGCTTGCCTTTCTTTTTTTTTTTTTTTTTTTTTTTAGCCTTTTTGAGATGGAGTTTCACTCATGTTACCCAGGCTGGAGTGCAATGGCGCGATCTTGGCTCACCGAAACCTTCACCTCCTGGGTTCAGGCAATTCTCCTGCCTCAGCCTCCTGAGTAGCTGGGATTACAGGCACGCACCACCACGCCCAGCTAATTTTTTTTGTATTTTTAGTAGAGACGGGGTTTCACCATGTTTACCAGGATGGTCTCGATCTCTTGACCTCGTGATCCACCCGCCTCGGCCTCCCAAAGTGCTGGGATTACAGGCTTGAGCCACCGCGCCCGGCCGCCTTTCTAAAGGTGTTCTGATTCTTTACATGTGAGACTTGGCCTGCATGTCTACTCTTGGGGTCTGGTTAAAAAACAAAAACAAAAACAAACCTCTTATGTCATCATTATAAATTCTTTTCGTTTGACTTAGACAAGTTTGAATTGGATTAAACCAAGAAACAAAACTAAGATAGTTTTAATATTTCTATCACAATCTTTAACTTGCTTTTTTTGTTTTTTTGAGACGAAGTCTCACTCTGTCACCCAGGCTGGAGTGCAGTGGAGCAATCTTGGCTCACTGCAATCTCTGCCTCCTGGGTCCAAGCAATTCTCCTGCCTCAGCCCCCTGAGTAGCTGGGAGTACAGGTGCCCGCCACCATGCCCAGCTAATTTTTTGTATTTTTAGTAGAGACAGGGTTTCACCATGTTAGCCAGGATGGTCTCAATCTCCTGACCTCATGATCCATCCACCTCAGCCTCCCAAAGTGCTGGGATTACAGGCAGGAGCCACCGCACCCGGCCTTCATTTGTATTTTTAAAAAGAATATGTGTAAGAATAGTAAATTACCCTATGCGAGCTAATTACATTACAAATATTGTCATTTACTCTTAAGGTAGAAAGTTTTAGTTTTTATTGATACATAATAGATGTGTATAGTTTTGAGTTACATGTGATAATGCATATAATTTGTAAAGATCAAGTCAGTGTACTTGATCCATCATCTTAAGGGATATCCATCACCTTAAGTCTTTTCTTCATGCTAGAACCATTCAAATTGGAAGTTTACTTATGGCGAAGACAGTTCCTTAAATAACATAGCTAATGTAAGCCAATGGTATTTCTAGATAATATAACATTCTAACTAATGTTAAACAGCATGTAAATATCGTCTCTTCTTTCTGCTCTTTAGGTTGGAATCATTCCACCTATACCTTTTCTAATTCTTCTGACAATTCTATCACTTCTCTAAGAAAGGTTTCCTTGACTCTGGGTTTG